TGGACTAAAAGTCAGAATATCTCCTGCAGTTTTGACATTTTTTATTTTCTTTATTTTTGTTTTTGGTTACTTTTAACTGCAAACAAAACTATTTCCCTCAAAGAGAAACCAAACATGCCCTGTTGTCGTGAGAGAGAAAGTGCAGAAGGAAACNTTCCTCCATCTTGTGACTGTGTAACTCCCTCTCTTGGATATCAGCATGTGAAGGACACTGTTCAGGAACTAGTTGATGCTCTGTATGTGATGACTACTTCCATTCTGGAGAGGATCACAGATACATGGATCCTGAGGTTCAAGCTCAAGCCGGGACGAGTGATTATTACACATTTATTTAGATTACTAACATTTTTAAGTATTCAGAAAAAGTCTGAATTTTTGAGATTTTTTGAAAAAGTCCGATTGATATGACAGCTATGTGATTAACATGATGATTCAGCCTCTATGGCACATGTGTCAAACTCAAGGCCCGGGGGCCAAATCAGGCCCGTGGGTGATTTCATTTGGGCCCGCAGGATCATTTCTAATGACTATTAGATCTGGCCCTCCGGTATATTGCACGCACACCTTCTCTCCATCCTGAGGGTCTCCTCAGCTCAGAGCCTGAGCCCAAACATTGATGACCTTGCACCCAAGATGAGATGCCAAGTATCTGAACTAGCATCACAGAGCAGCACACTGAGTTTNAAAGTGCAGAAGGAAACATCCATTAAACTCAGTGTGCTGCTCTGTGATGCTAGTTCAGATACTTGGCATCTCATCTTGGGTGCAAGGTCATCAATGTTTGGGCTCAGGCTCTGAGCTGAGGAGACCCTCAGGATGGAGTGAAGGTGTGCGTGCAATATACCGGAGGGCCAGATCTAATAGGAATTAGAAATTATCCTGAGGGCCGAAATGAAATCCACCAAGGGCCTGATTTGGCCCCCGGGCCTTGAGTCGTTTTGTTGAAGCTGTTGTTGGCCTGTGGGAAAATGTAATCATAAGAAATGACTCTGGAGAAGCTGCAGATAGAGCCATAAGAAATGAATCAACTGATTATTTAATGTTGTTTTTATAGGCAATCATTTAAGCTTTGTTAGTTCCAGGTTTAATATGTGCAATAAGTTCATTTCAATAAGTTCTGCAATAAACATTGAACCAGTCCGGCCCTCCACTAGCACCCATTTTTTTATTTTGGCCCACTGTGTATTTGAGTTTGACCCCCCTGCCTTAAACACTCAAGACATAACCAAAGATATACCGAAATAGAAACACTGCTGATGGAAGAAACTATTATATTGTTGTACAACAGTATAAGAGACAGAATACTTGCGTCAAGTCCTCCAGGAGTACATGTGTCTGTCTAAAGATATATACCTTTGGACCTTTTACAATCACATGTTAGAAGACCCTATGCTCAATAACACGCTGCAAACAGACATGTGCACATTCATGGTCTCTCTAGATAAACTAAAGGATGAAACTCATGAACATGGCTTCCAACATATGATCAATATAGTTTATTTCAACATGTGTCAAATGTCAAGAGTTGCCATGAAGAGGAGGAAGTGGAGAGGATTGTTGCTTACTGGTTGGTTAACTGGTCTGTGATCCCTCTCTGTGGGTCAGACTGGTTCAGATGGATAGAGGCTTCAGATGGCTGGAGCTATTGGCTGTGGGGGGGTTAAATCCTGCAGGGTTAAAAGTCATCTGACTGAGCCGGTCAGGCCTCTGCTCTGGATCAGTTCAGAGCAGAGAAACCGGGCCAGGCTACTTCCTGGAGCAGCAGCAAAGATGCAGATACTAAGAGTCTCATTTATCCATGTTTAGATCAAATATGACTATTTATTGTTTCAGATAGAATTCAATATTTTTTAATGACCATCACAATCTTTTTAATCCGACACCAGATAACCCGTTTTTGTTGAGTTTTGGTTCCATTTTGGGATTTAAAGTAAGATTTGATTTGATTTTGGATTGACTTTACCTATTTGATTGCATACTGTCTTGTAAATGATTGAACAAATGGGACAAATAACGAATTTATTTATTTGTTTGTTTGTTTATCTTTTGGTATTATTTCCCAACTTTTAACATATCATATTTTTTTACATATTAGTTTGTATATTTTCCTATTATTTTAGGGAGAATTAGCGTTTATCTCATCTATCGATCAGAATGAAACTCAATATAAAAAATGTATACGTGTGTGTGTGTGCGTGCGTGCTTGCGAGCGTGTGCGCTTCCCTGTTTTTTTTATTACCGTCTGATGTTGACTCGCACACCACGTGACCACATGTTGATTAGAGACACCTGCGCTCAGACCGGAAGTTTGTGTAACGTGAACATGAAGCACGTCGTTTCACACCGTCTCCCTTTTTAAATGTTTACACACTTTAACGCACGGCTGAAGTGCCCTTAAGCCCAAATGCTCTATGTCGAAGCAGGCAGGTCGTAAAACGTAAATTAAATATATCTGTGCCTTTTTGTATCCCTCACCGCTGCTGTGGACACATCTCGATGTTATTCACTTTATTTATCCTCAGAAATCGACTCACTTCGATCCCGTTAAACTAACTTCCGTTACCGCACAAACCCCCGTGTTTATCTGCAAGAAATCCCTGGAGAAGTGATCTGAAGCTTCCGATATTTAACATTTGTAGGTTTGGCTTTCAGTGATTTTAACACAGGGGTTGGTTTGTTGATCCTTTGTTTCTCCTGCATCGATATAAAGAACTTTGATTTTAACATCTCAGTCAGTTAAATATATTTAATATAACAACTTGAATCAACCCTAAGGCTCTGTTGCATTATGGATATTTATTTATAGGAAGCTTGCATTAAAACAAGGTTTGGTTTCATTAGATATGTATTTAAAGGTCATTTAATTTCCCTTAGTTTAGATTACTGGGACAACGAAATGCATTTAGCATTTATTCAGGAGTGAAGAGAAGCAACACAGAACAAATATGAAACACTGTAGACCACTATTGACATCTTTATCAATAATATGAATAAATATGATTGAAGATATAATCAGTTTGGACAGCTTTAAAAAATAAAACGAGTACATAAATAGGTAATTGTGTTAAAAAAAACACTTAAATAAATGACATGGATTCTTTACCACAAGATGTACACAAATCCAATTAGTCTGATAAATGTTATATTGACTTATAACCTGTTTTGAATCCTGCCCACATTTTTAATTTTTTAGATATTAGATGAAAAATATCAAGGCCTCTATGCAGCCCTGAGTTCTGCCTGCAGGTTACAAAAAGGCCCAAGTAGCCTGACAGTCAAAAACCGGGGGAATTCTACTTAACTTAACATATCATGGTTATTTCTGTATGGTATTGCAGTTTGTAATATAACGGGCATGGTTATACAGTATCAGGTTCAATAATGGAGCAGTTAATTTACTCGGCCTAATCCAGTTACTATCGAGGAACACTGTCCTTCACTTGCATCGATCCTCCTCTGAAAATATCCCACAACAAATACACTGGTTCCTCCTTTTAGGTTTTATTAAATACTACAGTTACCAGCTGTTTTAGAGAATCCCAGAGACCTTTAAAATATAAAACTATACACTATAATAACTGAAACGTTGACTTTAAATACATGCATTATGTCAACAGATTCCACATACAAATATTTGTATTGAAGACACACAGAGAAGACATTTGGTACATTGATAGGGACCACAGTTCAGAGCTACTACCATTTAGCCTCTGCTATTCTGCATCAATTCACAAGCTAGATGAATATAGTATATGATATAGCTAAGCTGGAGTGATGTACCGACTAAACAAATCATAATACTAAAACAATACAAAGACTAAATACATAATAAAGAGGAAGGGGGGGAGGGTGTCCATCAATCAGTAGACAAACATGAGAGAGAATTGAAGGTTAAGAAGGGTTGCCACTTAGTGTAAGGCAGGGGGGTCAAACTCAAATACACAGTGGGCCAACATTAAAAAATGGGTTCTAGTGGAGGGCCGGACTGGTTCAATGTTTATTGCAGAACTTATTGAAATGAACTTATTGCACATATTAAACCTGGAACTAACAAAGCTTCAATGATTGCCTATAAAAACAACATTAAACATTAAATAATCAGTTGATTCATTTCTTATGGCTCTATCTGCAGCTTTTCCAGAGTCATTTCTTATGATTACATTTTCCCACAGGCCAACAACAGCTTCAAAAAAACTATTTCCCTCAAAGAGAAACCAAACATGCCCTGTTGTCCTGAGAGAGAAAGTGCAGAAGGAAACATCCATTAAACTCAGTGTGCTGCTCTGTGATGCTAGTTCAGATACTTGGCATCTCATCTTGGGTGCAAGGTCATCAATGTTTGGGCTCAGGCTCTGAGCTGAGGAGACCCTCAGGATGGAGTGAAGGTGTGCGTGCAATATACCGGCGGGCCAGATCTAATAGTAATTAGAAATTATCCTGCGGGCCGAAATTAAATCCACCAAGGGCCTGATTTGGCCCCCAGGCCTTGAGTTTGACACGTGTGCTCTACAGGTGTCAAACTTAAAAATGAAGCACAATAAGATC